CAATCTCATCGGGTTCAACAATCGCATCGGTTTCAACATTCGCATCGGCTTCAACAATTGCATCGGTTTTAACATTCGCATCGGCTTCAACATTCGCATCGACTTCAACAATCGCATTGACTGTAACATTCACATCGACTTCAACAATCGCATCGGCTTCAACAATCCCATCGGCTTCAACATTCGCATCGGCTTCAACAAGCGCATCGACTTCAACTGTCACTTTGACTGCAACAGTCACATCGACTACAACGTCTGCTGCTGCGGRCCAGTATTTCAATACTAGTCAATCTGATTACCAATTCCGGATACCGGAAGTTCCACCGTTGCGTTACCATTCGACCACTAATTCGAACCGCAACTACTGTAATTCTTTGATGGCTGGTACTTACGTATTTGGAGGTGGTGATGGAARTGGCAGAGTCAACGGAACCAGCGACGCAGTAAACCTTGAAGGAACTGATGAGGTTGTCATCGATGAAGATCTCCTTCGCGGTGGATACGTTTATGCGGATGAACATCTTTTTGATAAAATTGACTATAATGCTTTCATAGGATAAATTTGGGGAAGTCTTATTCTTATCATGGCTTATAATAGGTTATATTCGATTATACCCTATTCGTGATCAGATGAAGACCTTCGGATCGCTCTGTATATACTGAAATAATAATTTTATTGTATTATCTTATAATCACTACAAATAGTCGTGCGTCCATAACAATTTGGGGAGAGTTACTAAGATTGGACCACTTTGGATATTTAGGAGTATTACAGCTACCTGACAATTTAAAATAATAAGTATTGAACTATACAAAATAATAATAATAAAAATGTTTCTATACAAAATTGTCAATTACACCGTTTATAAGTTAAGTATAGTTTACTTACCTTTTTTGTTGTATAACTTTACGAAATATTTTTTTAAAAAATAGCATGAAAATKACCGTTTTTGTATTAAGTAATATAACGATGATTTATAACAATATGTGATAACTCCAAAGACGTTTTAAAACGATCTTAATTAAATGTATGAATGTTATAATTAGTTATGTTTGACAGCTGATTAACTTAGGWGGTTCAATTAAAGAGCCGGTCCAATATTGGCAACTTTACCCTATTTTATTTTAACTTAATTTWACRMCCAGACGATACATAAAAATATTAAATCAAGTTGATTATTTTGTTTCGCTTTGAATATAATTGTTCATTTTTAATTAAATATTGATAACTATCAATTAAATATTGTTAATTAATTAATTAAAATAATTTATTATTTCTAAAATGAAATTAGATTTTTGTTTTTTTTTTTTTTTATACTCTTATAATTATTTTATATCAACATACTGACATCAATGTTTATCTCAGTGTTTCCCAAACTTTTTTTACTCAACGTCCCTTTTAGATTTTAAAAATCTCACACCGCCCTCCCCCCCAATCAATTTTTTTAAATGATAAACGTTTTATTTTTTAATAAGCTATTTAATTTAAGRAAAAATATCATTTAACATTTTAACGCTACAATTTAGTTAATTTTAATTTTAAATTTAAAACCTAACCTAACGTCAAGCACCTGTCAAGATAATTATTTTGATATTATTTAAGTGTCTATAAATATTATACCTACATAATTCTGTGAATTACATTAGGTATTTTATTCTACGCAGCTATACATTTCMTTACAATCAGTTATAAACAAAAAAAATTAAATGATAGATGAGCGCCCCCTTCAAAATAAAAAATGCCCACAAGAGGGTAGCGCCCACGTTGGGAATCACTGGTTTATATCATCCCAGTAAACACATATTATAAGCAGTACAGAATTTTAATTAGTAAATAATATAAGGCATAGATGTTACAATTTTAAGTATAACCTACAACCTAGCCTAACCTTACATTTATTTTTAGGTCCCTGCAGTAAACTCATAATATATAAGAGTTGTGCCTAGTCAATATTTTAGTTCCTTGTGATCACTGTTAACAGTGAGTAAATGGTAATTACTCTTACTCAGCGAGTATACATCCAACCAATTTCCCAGTGTCTTTCATATAACGCAGATGCAGGCACATATTATMATTTAAGCCATTAGATGAAAATATTCAAACCCAATTTACGAATGTGAAATAGCTATCCTAAATATAAAGAACAAATATTTAAGTTAAATTAAAAAAAATATTAAGATTTTAGGAATGTATAAACGAGACTACTTTGCAGAGGTCTAAGCACTTTTTCGATTTTATAAAATTCTTAACGGGACTAAACTTTTAAAATGCCATACATTTTTAATTTTATGTTAATCATGGA